TCCAATAGGCTGTCTTGCATATTTACTTCACTTTGGTGATCACTACACATTAGAATGATGGCCTGCCTTTTTAACAAACAAAAAAAAAAATGTCAGTTCTCAATGAACATGAAAAATTACTTCAAATCATAACAGCAAGTGATTAAATATGGACTATGGATTTGTGGACCATTTTTTTTTTTGATTTTAGGTGTTTTAAAGGCCCAAGGATCCCACTAAACCCAAAAATGACCCTGGCTTCTCAATTAGCACACTGCCATAAAGTCCTAAATCATTATTTGCAAACCAACCACATAGCACAAGGCATTCCAAACTCAGAGGAGGAGCTCCAAAGAAATCCTGATCACAACCCTGAATCTTAAATGCACCCAACTGTCCCAAGTGCTACAGGACGCTTTCCTGTGTATACACGTCTCCTTGAAATAGGGTCACTGTGTCACCTACTCTGTCTCTATGCTAAATAACTGTTGACAGAGGCTGACAATTAGAGCAAACACTGAGAATTGACAGTGGATAAGCAGAGACGCCTTAGAAATCAAAAATACAAAACAATGCTGAGCTTGAATTACAGATCAAAAAAAGGAGTTACATAGCAAATGGTAAGCAAAAACTGACTTAAAAAGAGAGAGAAAGAAAGCAATTAATTCTGTAGATGCTGAGGAACCAGGATAAATTTCAGAGAACCAAGAAAGCTACATTTAATTGTTAAAAACATTGACCAAGTACCTACCATGTGCAGAGCCTTGGATAAGGACTTAGGGTACAGAGCACAGGGAGGAGATGAGTATGGGGCTGCACACCACAATCTCATATTTATATTTCCTATTTCTCTGGCTCTATATTCTCAGCTTTCTTTCTCTGTGCCTTAAATGTTATTTCTCAAGGTTCCACCTTCAGTTCCTCTTCTTAATACTTTCTTAATTCTATTATCCCATCAAACCCATATTTCCTACTCTGAATTCTAGATCTGTACCTCCCCTCCTGACCAACTCCTTCACCGAGAGCTCTCTTTGACAGCCCTCAGCACCTCCTCTTCCAGTATTACCTATCTTTGCAAACAGCATCTCTAGCAGCCCAAGTTAGAAGTTTCAAAATCCTTGCGTATCTGATTCTTCCTCAATATATTTTTAATTCATCTATTTATTTAATCACTGATGCTAATTCAATAGCTCTCCAAACTCTTTAGAAAGACATATATATGGTCCTTAGTGATTTCACTACTATTCACCTCTTTGGTTTCATCTGCCCCCCTCAGATGCTGTGCTGCCCTGCACTTTTCCCTCACCTGCCATGACTCTGCACACAGTGGTCTTTCTGCTGGTTAACACCATGCCTTTCCTTTCCACCTGACCAGCTTCCACTTGCCCTTCAGGGCTCTGCTCAAAGGTCACCACTCCTAGTCTGAATCAGGGGCTATTCCTCTATGTTCCCACAGCACCCTGTGCACTCCCCTCCCAGTCTTGACCACAAGATGTAATAATTGTTTGTTTAGTCTCCTGCTTAACAATAAGCTCCTGGAAGGCAGGGACTGTATCAGATTTCTTTTTGTGTCTTTGGTACCTGGCACTTAGAAGGTGCTCAATAAATATTCATGGAAGGGAGGAAAAGGAAAGAAAACAAAAGAAACAAAGACAAAGACACCTACTGGAGATGAAATATACATATAAAGTGGAAGCAGGAAGGTTTAAGAATCCAAATGAAAGTCTCCCAATTCTCAGAAGTTCCTAAATTCCATCCTGGTGTTGGGGTCAATGCCCAGTAGATTTCAGCCCCTAGAAAAGAAGAACTGGAATAGAAGAGCTAAGTCTTCCTGACCCCCAGCCTGCCCCCAAGATGGTTACAGAAGCTTGGAGAAAGCTGGGATTAGAAATTTTGGCCTGAAAAAGGACCACAAACATCTTTGAGTGTCAGGGAGAGAACGGCTTAGGACATAATGAAGACTAGAATCAAGTGGCTCCAGAAGGTCAAGCAGAACAGTGACACTGACAAGCAACCATCTGCCAAGCTAAACGAGGGTGAGCTCCTTATTTACTCCATGCAATTAATCCCCTATACGATGTATGGATCCTTACAAATTCTTACACTGCACGTTTTATGGGACTAGCAATGATTGCTTAGAAGTATTCAGCTTCTAACAAAATAAAAAAAAAAAATGCATTGAGAGGAGGCTTTGTTTATGAGGTTGTAAAAAGACCTAGAACAAGCCTGAACCCTTCAGGCAAGGCCATGGTGGGGCTAAAAATTCAAAAGGGAATATCCCTTCAGTACAATCACTCATATACTGACAAAACCCACAGGAACAATGACCATCTCAGTGACATTCATTTCCTTATCAATAAGTGCTTTTACCATTACATTATGAACATGACCAATTCAAATTACATTCAGAGATGCTAAAAAAGACATTGCTACAGTTTCACCTGCTGATTCTGCATCACTTTTGCTAGCCTGTGAATATCATAGTGCTTTGGTAGAGAAGGGATATAGGTATCTCCTTTCTGAAAGTTCTCATCTTCTAGCCATAATATATATACATTGAAGAGCCTAAAAGATAAAAACAAATTATATAAAATATAAAAAGATACACAGGCAAATGAAGTTTCTTACATCTCTAGGAACTGTGGCACCACTACATAAGAGTAAAGAAACCCCATAACACAAAAAAAGGCCTCCAAAAACAACAAAACCCCCAAAAAACACATGGTCCAGCAGGGAAGACATGTCACACATCATTAAAATATGGTGCAACAGTTGCTAAAACAAAAGGTACAATGAACTATTATTAAAGTAGGGTTAAATACAGTACACAGGAAAAATAACTGGAGAAGGTGATTTTTACCACAGACCGAGGATCTGAATTTAGAGCTTTTCTTTCTTGGGCAATTCAGTCACAGTGAGTCTTAACAGCTTGGAAAAGTAAAAAAACCATTCAAATAAGCATGTTTTCAGAAAAAATATTAAAAGCCATCTTAAACTTATGCATTGGAAGAACTTGCCAGTTTTAGGCGTAATGAACATCTCCTGCCTCAAAGAATCACAAATAAAACTCACCAGCATTTGTGTACCCTGTTATCATTAAGAAGTAATCAAATAAAGCCTGGTTTTAAAAAAGAAAAAGTCCCAATTTTCCAGTACAAACTTTTTTAAAAATATACTTTCCTTTATTCATTTATTTATTTCTTAGAGACGGAGTCTCGCTCTGTTGTCCAGACTGGAGTGCAGTGGCCCGATCACAGCTCACTACAGCCTCAAACTCCTAGGCTCAAGCAATCCTCCCTCCTCGGCCTCCCGACTAGCTCGGACTACAGGCATGCCATCACACTTGGCTAATTTTTTTAACTGTTTTTAGAGTTGGGGGGTCTCATTATGCTGCCCAAGCTGGTCTCCAACTCCTGGCCTCAAGCAATCCCGCTACCTCAGGCCTCAGCCTCCTGAGATGCTGGGATTACAGGCCTGAGCTACTGCAACCAGCTCTTATTTGGTTTTGTTTTGTTTTTACAAGGAACACAGTCCACTTAGCTAAGATCACTGGTATTTTAAGCAGTTGTTTGCAGCATTATTACTGGAGAAATAGTTGGCAATACACAAATTACTGGTGGGGGACCGGGACGTGGCATGGCTTTGTTCAATAAGGTGGAAAATTACCTCCTTTGCCTCCACAACAGTCTATCTAGGAAGGGAGACGCGGATAGGGCTTTGAGGTTCTTACAGGGAAGAGGTTGATATATAGTTTTCTCCCAGCCTCTGATTCTGGGAGCTAGATGACCACTTTATGAACACACCACAGGAAGGGGATTTAGGAGGCATAGAGAATATCAAAGATTTTCTTGGCTTATCAAAAATGTTCAAAGAGACAGCCTTCCGCTACTGATTAAGCCCAGTTAAAAATAAGTTTCCCTTCAACCAAGATATGGGGAGAGTGAGAAAGAGCCCCAAGGGCTTAGGGTACAGCAAGCCTGGGGCCTCAGTGCTGGATGAAAGCTGGGTTCCCTCGCCAAGCTGTTTCGTAGTCAGAGTTAATTAGTGAGAGCCATTTTTATTAAGTCTTACTGTAAGACTGATACTTGGTTTATATCAAACTTATAAATGAAAGGTAAAGGAATAGTGTGAAAGGAACCCAAACTTACTTCAGAGTTCTTAACCTTTTGGGGAATGTAAACATTGTGCCTGCCTTTATAAGCAGTTTGGGGAGATTACTAGACACCCCCACTCCCACCCCAGGTGCATCCCTGAGTCCCGCGGAGGATCTACGAACCACACTTACACAGCTCTGCCTGGATCATTTATTTCTAGCAGGCTTTCATAGTTGTTTACCTGCTATGATAAATTTGTTTTGGTTTATTTCTATTTTTACATAAAGAAATAGAAGAAGATATCAGCCATCTGATTTATCAGTCAGACACCAGCCACCGGACAGAGGTCCATCCAAATTGCTGATTCACTTCTCTTAAGGAACATAAAAGAGAAACATTTCAAGATACAGATCTGTATCAAAGCCACCTTCCATATTCAATCTAACAGGGTTAATTAAGAGAATAACACCTAGCGGTCTGTAACACAGCTAACTGCTCTAGCACAGTATCTGTGCTGCAAACCATGTAAATGGCTAAATAACCACGCTCACCTCACTAGCTCCGTGTGCAGTTCTGGTGACGTCAGGTACCCAGGGGTGCCAGCCTGGCTCCCTGGCAGCGCTTCGCTGCCCTCTGCTGGAACTCGGAGGGCTTTGCTTGCAGCATGGTGGAAGTCAGCCACCTCCGTCAGACGCCTTTTCATTTCTTTCAACAAATTAGTATAAGCAGGACTCTGAAAAAATCTTCTTCCAATACAACCATCTATGGGTAACCTTAAAAATACAAGTACAGATGTATAACCTTTCAGCACAGGATGTGCTTTCTACATGGCACAAAACAGCAGTCAATCAGCAAGGCAATTTACTATTGCTGGGGATATACACCATTAAATTAACACCTATCATTTGTACCTCAAAGGTAATTTTCAGGATCCAACAAGATGGTGTATATGAAAGCAGTTGTAAAAAGAAATGCTACACAAATACAAGACATCATCACCACTTAGAGGTACACAACAGATTAAAGATGATCTCTGTCTTGAGGAACTTACATTCCAGTAGAAAATCGAAGTGACAAAGAATCAACATCTATAAGGTGTTAGAGTGAGTTAGGGGAATGAGGGTGGGCTAGGAATTGAGGTAGGAGCTAGACAGCAATGGTTGGTAACAGCTGACAGTTTGGCTGACCAGAGTATCCTCATATCCAGTGGAAAGGGCAACCCAAGGGCTGCCAGACACAGCCTGGCCTTTGTTCATATCTGCACCACTCATCATAGGTCCCCTCGTCCCAGCCCCATGACAGTCACACAAGCAGCCTCAGTTTGAGGCGGTCTGTCTCCCTTTGCATCTCCAGAGGTTTGATGCCCAGTCCCAGGGTGTTGTCTTCATCACCCTGAGCATGAAGGATGGTAAAGAGAAGCTGCCACAAGATACGCCCAACTCAAGAAGGATCCAATCTAATAAATGTTAAGCAGAGAGTGAAGGAGATTCCTAGCCAGAGATCAGCAAAGAATGAGTCTAAGTCACACTACACAGTCTAAGAACACACAGAATCAGAGCAGTGCAAAAGCAGAAATGGATTCACAGGCAGTTACTACAGTACTGGGTACCATACCCATACTGCGGTCCTGGGCGGTGAAGATACAGAAGGAAGAACTTCTGCCAAATGAGTGGCAGGAGAGGGTGATCAGAAGGCGTAACCAGAGCCTGGTGGGCCCAGCGATAAATCAGCAGCCTCTGGAGGGACGGCACGATGGGGAGCTTCAGCTGGGCCTGGGCTTTCTAGGAAAAAGGAGGGGCTGTGAGTAACCACAAAATGAACACAATTGCAAACAGTTTACTCTGAGTTTTCCAAATGAAACGCCAAACATTTTGTTTTCATTTCAGCAAGAAAAAAAGTCTTCCAAAACTCACTTCTACCCACCATCTAACACTTTAACCTCCTTTGTAGCAAGATATATGGGGCAGCTTTTTTCCTGTCAAAACATTTCATAGACCCAAGAATCAGAACCGATCTTAAGAATCTTAACCTCATTTCTATTAATATTTCTGAAATTCCTTTCTATGTATAATGCTATAGTGCAAGGGAGTATAATAACATAAAAACCAAATGTAAATCACTATCAAACTTTATCAATCTTTTGAAAATTAAGTTTTGTGTTTTTTTATTGTACTTTGAGTTGTTTTATGAAAATTTAGATTTTTAAAAGAATGTTCAAGAATGCTGAATTTTTGATGGCTCTGAAACCCAAAAATAAAGTATATACTATACAACGGGACCCTAAAAGAGAAGGTCTTTAAATCTGAACCCTTATTCCAGTTTTTGTAACACTTCAGCAAGCCTAAGAATCAGCTAGGGAGTTTTAAAAAATAAATTCCTGGGCCCACTCCAGACTCCGAGATGGCAAATCTCAGAAGGTGGGGTCTAGGAATCTAATTTTTAACAAGCCCTCCAGGAATTCTGATGCATGTGGGACACAATGGCAATGGCTCTAAAGCAGGCAATCGCCATCACATGTGCAATGAACACAACCTTCAAGGATTACACTCTGACTCTCATTAATGAACACTGAGAAGCAAGTATAGACTTTGATTACATAGTTTTAAGCATTGGTTTGGTTTTTGAGCTTTCCATACATTCACAACAAAAGAAAACACAAAAGTCCAAAAGCTATAATACAGTCCATCAGCATCAAAGTGTAAGCCACCTTCTACAAATCAAATGCAGAACTGCTATTTGCACCTTCAGAGCTTGGTCAGGGGTGAAAGCAGAGTTGATAACCAATTCCCCTTCAACGACTCTTCGGAGCTGGGAGTCTTCTTCAAAGATAGATTCCATGTTCAGTACTGTCCATGCAAACCAGACCTACAATGACACCAGGCAAGGGGGG